CTGTATATATGTTTCTCTTATTGGTTGATGAATAAAACACTGTTTGGTCGATATAGGCAGGAAGATAGGCGGGGCTAGGTGATGAGAATTCTGGGAAAGGTAGGCAGAGAAATGCTGGAGTTACCATGTGGAGACTGGGAGGACAGAAACGCTCCAGGCATTCTCTGGTAAGATAAGGCCAAATAGAAATACGTAGATTAGTAGTTATAGATTTGCAATTAAGACAGAGCTAGCCAATAAGAAGTCCTAGCCACCAGCCAACAGTTTATAATTAATATAACGTCTCTGTGTGTTCATTTGGGGCTGAAGCAGATGGACCTGGTGGGAAAAGAACTTCCAGCTATATATATTATTATTTTTATGGGTTTCAATAAGCAGCTTTAAGTTAAAAAAAAAAAAACCCAAAACTGTTTTAGTCTAGCAAAGTATTTATTTGATCATGATGACTTAAAAAAATTTTTAAAATAAAAATTAACACATACGAATACTTACAGCAATACTCAAACTGTGTTACAAACAGTGAGGGTTGAAAAATTATTTGTATTTAGAAATTTTGAATGTTAGGTAAAGAGAAATTCTTCACAATTGTGAAAATACTGCCTGGATATGCTAAATAGTATTTACATTTAAGAATATTTTAATTATATATAATAGTAACTATTTGTAAATGTATTGGAAACAAATGAAAGGATGCCTACCAATTAGGTAGGGTTGAAGTAGGGAGGTAGGATAAAAACTAGTATATTTTAAGGCCTGAATTCTTTCTTATACATATAAATACTTTTATTACAACTATTTTTATAGTAACAGGTTACTTTTAAAATTATATATCTTAAGCAAGAAATACTTCAGCTAGGAATGACAGTGAGAAATTCCCACAACATTGGGAAGTAGGTTTAAGTAGAGAAGACAGATGAGAACAGAGCTGACGGGGAGCAGAAATGGCAGCAGCAGCAGTGGCAGCAAGAGCAGCTGCAAGATCAGAAGGCACACCAGGAGTGTAGTGCCCAGACATGATAGGACTCATCTTTGGTACCCAAGCCTGAGGTGTATGGTGAGAGAAATGTGACTTAATCTTCTCCACAAGTCTCACTTTATACAGAAGAGAAAGTGACATGCAGAACAGGACAGAATTACATAGCACAGATCTAGGATTTCCTTGGGACAGAAAACAAACCCCATATTGTATATGCTACCCTATGTAGTATAGGATTACCCCCAGAGGAGATTAAGCTCATCCCTGGTATGCACAGGATGTCCTACAAGCAATGGGGTGTCTAATGGATCAAACCAGTAGATCAATTATGGAGCAATTAATGAGTTTCTGTGGCAGATACAACAATTCTCCAGAAACAGACTACTACTTTAATATACAATCTATTTTTAACTATTAACAATTAGTTGAGAAATTTAAAAGCTGTGAAAAGCAAACAGGTCAGTAGGTACTATCTTGCTGCTATGGTCTCCTAGGTTTAAAATTCAAGGGCTAGGTTTAAAATTCAAGGGCTAGGGGCTATTGACTGTTCTTGCAGAGTACCTGGGTTTGATTCCCAATAGCCTCATAGTGGCTCACAATCAACCATGTATAACTCAAGTTCTAGGGGACCTGGCAACTCTTCTGGCTCCCGCATACTTGTGAAGCACAAAAATTCATGCAGGCAAATGCATAACACACATAAACAAATCTTTTTAAAGTTTTCAAGGGCTAAAGAACCAACATGAACAGTGTGACCTAGGTTTTTTTTTTTTTTTTCCTTGTTGTTTATGGTAAAATGGAAAAGGCAGAATCAGAATGAAGCCTACATAAAAATAGTTCCAACAAGAATTTTTTGCTTTTGGTGATTTGAGTTATCCTTTTGGTATCTGCATGGAAATAAAATGTGAATCTTATAGTGTTAAAGGCATCATATTTGCAAATTTCTTTCAAAGAGTTCTGAAAACCATGCAGGGAGAGTGTGCCAGAAAGTGAGAAGACCATGGAGGAGGAGGGGGTGACAGAGCAGAAGCAGTACAGCAGTCACACAGTGCAAGGGGAGCTTACATCGAAGCTTGGCAAAGACACAGTTCCCATGTCCTATATACATAAGCCATAAAAGTAATAGTAATGCGGTTAACGCTAGTCAAGTGTTTCCTTACAACTGTGTATAGGAAACCAGTAAGAGCTGAAGGGCATACTGGAATCCCTTAACTATTTTCTACATAGTGAGATTATATAAAGTAAAAAGTTAAAAGAAAAGAAGATTTAATGATATCTTTAAATCAGTGTAAAAAATCTCTATATAATCTGGTATCTGTATTAATTATCCTTGAAATCATTTTACTCTGTGTGCTGTATTAAAACAGCAATTTTAAGTACCTTCTTCATGGTACTTACAGAGTATAGAACTGTTACATGTACAATTTATCATCAGGATTTTTAATATGAGAATTTCACACAAGAAACACCATTTTTTTTTTTTTTTTTTTTGGTTTTTTGAGACAGGGTTTCTCTGTGGCTTTGGAGGCTGTCCTGGAACTAGCTCTTGTAGATCAGGCTGGTCTTGAACTCAGAGAGACCTGCCTGTCTCTGCCTCCCGAGTGCTGGGATTAAAGGCATGCGCCACCAATGCCCGGCCGAAACACCATATTTTAAAAAGAGTTGATTCCACTGCTAGAATGTTTGTATCCAAACATTCTTATGTGTCAGCCTTTAGTGTATTCGTGAAACTAAGAAAATTCATGCTTAAACTTAACCCTCCATGAACAGTAATAAGAGGTCACTTGATATGAGGGCAGTGCCCTATGGACGGATGGTACCTTATTATAAAGGGAATAGAGAGCATTAAGAGGCTCTTCCCGCCCTCTGCCTTCTGCCATGCAAGGATGTGACAGTAAGGTGCCAGTGTGGAAGCAGAGGACAGCCTCCCTTAGATACTAATGCTCACTCTGCAGCTTCCATCCACACTGAGAAGACACCCTCGTTATTTCTAGACTACCTAGGATCAGGTATTTTGTAACAGCAACAGGAACACATTAGGACACTGACACACAGAGCTTGGCCCACAGTTGCCATAGACAACTTCAAATAGGCTTTACTTACCAATTGCTTTTCACTCACAGGTGATGGAGATGGGGGAGCAGTCTCTCCTGAAGTAGGTCGCCATGTCAGGAGCCTTTAAGATACCAAAACAAAAACCAGTCACTGGGGCCACAGCAAAGAGTCATGACACATGCAACATATTTTAAATGGGCATATAAAAAAGTAAAAAAAAAAAAAATTACAGTTTTACTACTGATGAAAGCAATCTGAGATCCATTCAGTAAAAATTTTAAAAAGATGTACTTCCAGAAAATAGTTCAGCAGCACTTAATATGGTTATAAGGATAATAGTTTTATAGTAAAATACACTTTCTGAAGTGCCATGGATTTAAAACTTACTTCTTCTAAATATTAATGTCTTAACTATCACCCCCAAAGCAAGCTCATTTAAAAAGTTTGACACTTTTCAAAAAACCTCATAAAAAAATCAGAATTCATAAAACTGTTTAGATTCCATTTTTTTTAAAGATAGGAAAATTAGGTGAACAAGGTCCCAAACAGAAATTAACTTGCTGCCTCTGAATTAGAAGCTTGTAGAAGAAGATCAAATTCTCCTTTCTGAAAAGCTTATAAGTTCTGGAATTTAGGCAGAAAGATGCCAACAAACAGATTCATTTCAAAAAAAGAGAAGTTGGAAATAGATCCTTTCCATTAAGAAATGCTTATTAGATGACATCTAAGGTTATTTGTGTTTTACTTCCTATTTATAATTTTACTATTTATAAGACTATTGTAAGCACATAAACCAGATTTAATTCATGTTACAAAACAGAATATAAAATTAAAATATGAGAAGCTGGCAATTTTCATATGGCTTTCTATCAGCACTGATATACTTAAATGTTTCTAGGAAGAGTCTGTCTGTAGACTTACACACTTCAGACAACAAGTAAAGCTATACAATTCAGGGAGCCCCAGGGCTGTGCTGGGCATGCATTCCAGTCTAGCCTACGAGTAGTCCAGATACAGAATGCCAACAATTTAGCATATAGTGTAGTATACAAACAGATTTTCTCTAGATTAATAAATCTATTGTCACTGAAATAAATCTATTTTCATGTTAAGGAAGGCTCCCTTTCTCTGATGTGATATATCGAAATAAAACCTTATAAAACCAGAGTTATCACATTATGACCCAAACATTGGAAAACCACACTGAAGATTTTGATTTACAAATAACTTACTTCATTTAATTTTTACAGTTTATTCATTGCTCACTTTTAAACCTTGTCAATATACAAATATAAAGTAGACCTGTATAAAATCTTACGCATGTGGAATTGTGGTTTTGAAGATATCCAGGGTGCAGTTACACGTTTTATCCCAGATTTCTAGAGTAAACTTTTCACCATTCAGAATAACCACATTTTCTAAGCAGTTCGTACCAGATCGCGCTAACTGCTCATTGTCTAGAAAAGAAAAGAGGAATTCATTTACATGTTCCCAGTGTACCATGTAACATTTGGTGTTAACATAGCTGTTACAGACCTACCTTGTTGCACACACCAGTATAGCTGGGCAAAAATATCATCCAAAAGTACATCACTAAGAACTTCTAAATACTGGGTGAATACATCACATATTGCATAAAGAGCATGATTGCAAGTTGTTGTCATCCATTCGGCTTTCTGGGGGGAAAGGGGGATCATAAAATGAAGGTCATGCTGTCCATCAACCACTAAACCAGACCCTGTCTCAAATCTTCTCTCCTAAATGACATTAAAGATAATTACAAAGTCTCCATTCACTATTGCTATAGATAGAGAGGGAAAATGAGGCTCTCTAGCCACAGAGTCTGAAATACATACTCTAAGTGGTTTATAGTAAAATAAATCAAAATAAATAAAACCAATTTTACTTTATATTCTTTATTGAATAAGAATTCAGCATCTAATACTAATGAAAGTTGCTGCTGTTTCTTAGTTATGACTATAACAAAATATGGAAGAAAAGCTGACAGCTTAACAAAAGCAATGAAAATACATATTAAATCATTAATTCAGTCCTATACCCAAATAGTGTCCTTGCTAATGAAAGAAAATATTATTTCTCATGTACTGAAGAAACATATTCTAGGAATTCTTCTATGTCTAATGTGTTTAACTGCAAACACTAAAATATACTGAGTGACAACTTTATGCTAAAGAAAATGTATTCTCTTACCTCTGTCTGCTGCTCTGGCAATTTCATATTGTCAAAGATTCTAAAAACAATTCTAAATAAGTCCTGCCACCAGTGCTTCTCGTAAGTGTGGCCATAGGTCTTCATTATCTCAAACATGACTGTTAAGCCCCTAAATAACAGAGCACACTTAGGAAAGTTGGAATGCAAAGAAGCAAAACGTTCTAAGAAAGCTTTAAAAGTTTACGAAGCTACTAAACAAGGAAAGTTCATACTGGTTGTTGATGCATACTGAATATAAAGCAATTTAAGTTGTAAAATAATGGGTTCCTTTAGGATATATTATTCAGAAAATAAAAACTCCAAAGGTGCTGACTTGAAGTTTGCTTGTTTTTCTGTTCCCCACTCATACCACTCTAGCTGTTAAAAACTATAACAGAATTTTTATCGGTTTGAACATAGATTTGAATGCTTAGTCATTAGAGAGTGGAGCTACCTGGTAGGGATTAGGAAGTGTGGAAGAAGTGTGTCACTAGGAGTGGGCTTTGGGGTTTCAAATGCTGAAGCAAGCCCCCAGTGTCTCCTTCTTCCTGTTGTCTGCCAATCAGAATGTAGAACTCTCCGCTACCTCTCTCCAGCACCAAGTCTACCTGCATGATGCCATGCTTCCTACCATGACCACAATGGATCAAACTTCTGAACTGTAAGCCAGCACCAGTTTAAATGTTTTCTTTTACCAGAGTTGCTGTGGTCATGGTGTCACTTCAGAGCAATAGGACACTGACTAAGACAGAAGTATAGATGGAAGTCATCACTTGAGTAAATATTAAATTTGCAGAACTATGGGTAAGGGAGCAAGGGCTTACAGCAGTCTAAGAACAAAGAAAAATGATGTCTGAAAAAACCCTTTTCAAAGGGTTATGGGGACTTTCAGGTACCACTATGAACTCTGCTCACATACTGTCCCCATACAAAGGATCTACTAACCAATCCACCAAGGCCTAGTCTCCACGAGGGAAGCAGTCTGTATGTCTCTTGGTTCTTGCTGTATTCTAGGCAGTGTTAATAACTCAGGCAAGCAATGTGTGAACAAATAAACCACCCAGAGATTATAATGACAAGCTTTTAAGCACTAAAACTAAAATTCAAAAACTGAGGAACTTTTCACTTTTATAGCTACATTTGTATAGCAAATGCTGAGGAAATAAGCTATAATCCAAAGTAGGGCTCAGACCACAGAGGTTTCTCAAAAAACTTAGCAATATTCGTAACATTATGAAACATTTGACTTTATACTTTCACATGGCAGACTCTTTGGCAGAGGACCTCTTAGCAATTTGTTAAAATTCAAAACTATTCATTTATTAATTCTTTTAGCCAGTATATCTTCTATAAGCATAAGTACTTGGGAGGGAGGGGCAGATGGATCAGAAGCTTAGGGCCAGCCTGTGCTACAGGACACTGGCTCAAAAACAAAAACAAAAACAAAATAAAGCTAATAATTAAAAAATGCTTCTACCATTTACCAGGAAGAAAATTTGTCATTAATTGCAGTTTCTGAGTAGAAACAAGAAAAAAAATGTTTACAGTATTAAACATAGTAAAAGACAGATTTAAGGAAAGTAATATATTTCATTTTGCACTAATATATCTAGTAAACATATTAATATAGTTTAAAATGTGCCTATCTAACTCTTTTCTTTCTCTCTCTCTCTCTCTCTCTCTCCCCCTCCCTTCCTCACTCCCTCCCTCCCTCCATCCATCCATGTCTAATTCTTAATATGTTTGATAAAAAACAATTTTGTGGTCTCTAACTGTAAACTGTGTGTATCCATAATAAGTTAATTACAATAAAAATAAATCCTTCAAAACTTAAATTTCAAATACGGATTGTTACCTGGTTCTTACATCTAATTTGCATCTATTGATGATACATGATAACTCAAAGAGAATCGGGAACCATCCTCTCACCCACACCCTGTCTTCAGGGGCCACATTCATGTCGTCACTTGTGTATTCCTTGAAAGCCTTCAAGAGGTAAAGTAGAATCAGGAAGACAAAGATAAATACTCTCACACAGTCGGTTTAATATTTCTCAGGAAAAACACTCCATGTATTACCAATCAAAAGTGAGAAACTTAATATATAATAACTTATAAAAAGCTGAAGATTCAGAACTGTCTATAAAGAACCTTAAACTAGATTTTTTTTTTTTTAAAGTTGGCTTTACAGGGCTAGAGATGGCTCATCAGTTAAGAGCATATCCTATTCTTGCAAGGAAACTGGGTTTGCTTCCCAGCAATCCTGTGAGGTGGTCCACAACAGCCTGTTAACTCCAGCTCTGGGGCCATCAGATGCTCTGGCCTCCACAGAAACCTGCCTGTACACATGTGCACATATGTCCTTCCCCAGGTATACAAACGATAGGTTCAGCTATGCAAGTCAAATTAGCAAGATTGTCAGGTCAGCCTTTTACTTCAGTGCTTAAGTACACTCTCATCCATGGCTAACTGACTTCAATGCTTCAAAGCACAGGCAGACAGGCGATAGGGCAGGATGCTTAGAAACTGGCTGGCTTCAAAGACTCACCTTTACTTGCTTTGCAACTATGGACAGAACTTAAACTTCTTGCACCTGTCACCTTATTTATATAAAGCTGTAATACTACCTGCCCCATTTTGTGTTACGAATAAATATACTTTACTTGGAATACCTGGTAGATACAGTAATGGCTAATACAGTCACTGGCCATCTTAACTCACAATCAAGTTCAGATTACTTTTGGTTTCAAAATAAATGCTTCCTATACCCTAAGTTTCCAAACAAATATAGATTTCAGATTGTACTCATTACTCAGCAAGATTTTGTTTATTAAATGATGCTGTACCTGAGGCCTATCAGACACATATTTTGCACAATGGCGAATAAGTCGAATTGCTTCCATACTTGTGTCTGGGAAAGCTGCATTGCATGCGAATTCAGATAAACACTTCACTGCATCCTGGAAAGAATCAATAGTGGCTGGAAAGTGTTTTTCAAATACAAGAGCTAAAACAGAGAAAAATAAATAGAAATAACTACACATTTTCAATTATTTTAATTGTATCTAAAATATATTAACCTCTAAAGTAGCACATTCTTCTTACAGGTTTCCAAGAGCTTCGACATTTAACAAAATTGGGTCTGAGTCTGTCCTGACAACTAGCCTGTCCTGAGCAGTGAGGAAAGTGAAATGTGTCTGACTGTTTACACTATCAACAGCACATAATAAAGTGATGGGTTCAGTATTGGATAGATAGGCAGAATTAACTACCCTCTGGATACCTGTGTTTAATAATGCTTACAGGGACATTTTATTACTTGAAATATTTAAGTAAAATGCTTAATACTTATGCAAATACTAAATGATAAGCAAGATAGTCTCACCCCACATAAACACAAACTGGATTCACAGATGTGCCTGGCCATGCCCAGATTATTTTGGTTGGTGACCCAAACTGAGATCATCATGCTTGCACAGCAAACATTTAATCATTATCTTTTATACAGGATTAACACTCAAAGAATCAAACAAAATATTTTACCCAAGACCCTAGCTGCTGGAAGTATAGCCCACTGCTAGTATATTTGGTCTAGCAAGCCCTAGGACTTGGGTTCAACCCTCAGCATCACAAACCAACTGAACACAGCCAGCTTTTCTATCTTCACTCTCACAGTTGAGGGATACTCACTCAGCACAGTCAGCTTTTCTATATGTACTCTCACAGTTGAGGGATACTTACTGACAATGTGTCCTGTTGTCTGAAATGCAAGTTCTACTATGCTTTCATCTTGGTCTGATGCAGCAAGATGGAATACTGAGAAGATGTTCTTCCATCCTGAGCGAATGTTTGCAGCCTGAGAATTAACCATCTGTGCTATACACCGTACAACCATATCTCGAATTGTTGGAGACCTAAAATATAGTAATGTAACTGATTAAATATACATCCACTGAAATTCAACCCATTGCTTTTTCTTTTTTCTGTTTTTCTCTCTGGCATAGATCATAATAAGATATTACTGATATTATTCAACTGATTTTTTTTTTTTTTTTTACCTGTTTCGTTTCATTATATGTTCAAATGGCCGTAAGAAATCCTTTTGGAATCTGAAATTTGCAAGTTCCCCTTTCTCTAAAAACTTCATTGACAACTGCCTCAGGGAGTCCACTGCAAATATGGCTACGTCTTCATTAGGATTGCAACCAACCTGTAAAGGCAGCAACAAGACCAACATACTAACATTAGAGGTAAAACGGATATTTTCATTTTTGCCTTAGAAAAACTACAAAATAATCAGCATAAGATGATGAATCCTAGGTTTTTACAAAGGTACCAGTATGTGAAAAATGGAAAACAGATGTAGCATGAATTCTAATTTTTCTTAATAATAAAAACTCAGAATCAGATATTGGGGGGTGGGTAGGGGAGTTAAAAGATCAGAGAAGTAAAGCAGCTAGCCACTAGAGAGTTCTCACCTCTACCAGTGCTCAAACCAAAGGGGTGAATCCTGTTCTCAGACTGCTTAGATTGCCTGAACTCCTGTCTCCTCCCGTTTTATATTCCTCTTTCTGCCTAGCCATATGCCTTCTTGTCTCCACCTTCTTAGTGCTGGGATTAAAGGCATGTCACTCCAAGTGCTGGGATCACCTTTGTGTCAGTTCTGTTTCTCTTTTAGACTATATCAACTTCACGTAGGCCAGGATAGCCTTGATCTAACAGAGATCCATCTGCCTCTGCCTCTGCCTCCTGAGTGCTGGGATTAAAGGTGTGTGCCACCACACCTGGCCTCTATGGTTAACTAGTGTAGCTGCTTTGCACTCTGATCTTCAGGCAAGCTTTATTTGTTAGATCATATCACCACAAACAGACATTTTAATGAAATTTTCAAAAGTTTCAGCAATCATTTATAAAAAAAAAAAAAAAAAAAAAAAAAAAAAAAAAAATATAACTCAAAGTCTTTGCTTTTCCTTAAAAAACAAAAACAAAATCAAAAAACAAAAACCTATATGTGAAAGTGAGTTTGTGTTGTCTGTGTGTATTTGTGTATGTGTGTACATGTCCAAGGAGGTAGAGCAGAAGAGGGGAATCCTCTAAAACTTGAGTTTTAACTCTAAGTGGGCATGAGCTGCTAGATGTTGACACTGGCAACAGGACTTGGTCCTCTGTAAGAGCCATTTCTCCAGCCCTTCTTTTTCCTTTTTGAGACAGGCTCTTGCTATACATGTAGCCCAAGCTGGACTTAATTCACAGACATTCTGCCTCAACCTACCCAAAAGTGCTGATAATAAAAGTTTGTAGCATGATTCCTGGAAGATTTTCTTTTTTTAAGATTTATTTATTTATTTATTATGTATACAGTGTTCTGCCTGAATGTATGCTTATATACTAAATTATTTATTTATTATGTATACAGTGTTCTGCCTGAATGTATGCTTATATACCAGAAGAAGGCACCAGAATCTCATTTTAGATGGTTGTGAGCCACCATGTAGTTGCTGGGAATTGAACTCAGAACCTCTGGAAGAGCAGTCAGTGTTCTTAACCATTGAGCCATCTCTCCAGCCCCAAGGAAGATTTTCTAAATTTAATTATAAAACTGTAACAAGCAGGGCAGTGGTGGCGCACACCTTTAATCCCAGCACTCAGGAGACAGAGACAGGTGGATCTCTGTGAGTTCCAGGCCAGCCTGGTCTACAGAGTGAGTTCCAGTATAAGCTCGAAAACTACAGACAAACCTTGTCTCAAAAAAAAAAAAAAAAAAAAGAAAAGAAAAAAGAAAAACAATAACAAAAACCCAAACAAAAAAACCCAAAAATCCAAAACCAAACAAAACAACAACAAAGACCTAACAAACAATTGCTTATAAGGCAAAAAATTCTATCAAGTTATGATTAGGAAAATTTAAACAAAGAAAAATATACTATAATTATTCAAATACCTTATTAAAATGATCTCCAATAACTTCCCAAATCCGAGACCACTGCAGTCGTATTCTTCCCATGTTATAGTATGATATTTCTACGATTTTTTGTAGACTAAACATCCTTGGGTGTGTAGTGGAAAGCAATTCATCCATAGACACGGCACAGAGCCAACGAACAAAATCAACTAAAAAATAAATACATTTATATTTTAATCTCAACTTTAAAGCTTTTTAGCCAAAAGGGCAGCTTAGAAGTAGAATAAACATTCATACTCACCAATAGCATTTCCATCTAGCCTTGTAGATCCTGTGAATATCCTGGGAAAAAATAACATCATTTAAAAACTTACAAATCTTAAATTTAAAATCTTCTGTTACTCCAACTCAAAAGTAATGGCCTGGAGTATTAACAGTTCTTAATAGTGTTCTAAGAGGGCCAAATGCCCCAGTGAACATTTATTCACCATATAGCTTACTAACAAGAACTGTCTAAACTGTTTTTCCTTCCCACTCACATTCTGTACTCAGGAGTACAGTGCAACTTTAGTTACATATTTGCAAATATGAGGCAAGCATTTTATGGGGTTCTAAGGTTAAAAAGATACTACTGTGTGAAAGCAATGAATTGGTTTACCAGGAAATGATGGGATTTTCAAGTTTTACTGAAAATCAACTAGCCTTAAGTAAGTGCTCTACCACTTATTTATTTATATCTCAAACCCTAAGCACATTTAGATATGGCTATATTGCATTTTTATAAGCAACATTCACTTGATTAGAAAATTCATTTAGAACTTAAAAATGACAAAAAAATTTACAAATGCTAACTTTATCCAAGAATTGGCTGAACTTTGTGCAGCCTCCCTTTCTGAGGCTTTTCCGTGTCACTGTTATGAGAGACTTCAGTACACTTATGTACAACTTGTTCTTTTTACCAGAAGCAAATTTTATGAGTATGAAGAGAATGAATCTTTTCAGGTTTTATGATATTCCCCAACTTTAAACTTCACAACTAGATGTACATGATAAAGGGGAAACCACAAAGACAGGGATAGCTCAAATATTAATCTTAAAAATACTGTATTAAGAGTAGTAGTTAACAATCACCAGGAGGTACTATACTTATATCTTAACTATGGGTATTATAACACAACTTTGTGAACAGAGATACTCATGCAAAGAAAGTTACAGCTTCTTCAGAGTCACAGAACCAGTAAGTGGCAGAGCCAAGATTCAAACTGCAGCAGGCCAACTCCAAAGTCTCCTTATATACTCACTGCACATTAATTAAACTCGAATAACCATTTTCAATGCATCCTAGTTTTTCTCTAGTTACAAAATCTGAATGTCTCACAACTAATTTTAATCTTCAATGTAACAATAAGAAACAAAACAGGCTGGCAAATATAAATTTTCAGCTCCTGCTAAGGAATGGCTTAAGACTTCTGTATTGTTCTTTTGGGTAAAACGAAAAAAGTAATTAAAAACTTGGCAAAAAACAAAAACAAAAAACAACAACAAACAATCATGGGGGAATATCAAGAGAACTGCACACCATTTAGCCCAATGGTTAGACTGATATCAGAACATAAAATACAGGAAAACCACAAGGTTCTCATATCAACCAAATTAAAAATTACTAGACTCTGCAATGTAATCAGCTGATTTCTCTCAAACTAGAGGTATTCTCATGGAAGGCAAATCTGTATGCAAAACATACCAGAGTAAAAAAAAATTAAGCAATATAAGAGAACAACAGAAAAAACATCAAATAAATAAGAACAGATTTAACTGGAGGAAAAAAAAAAAGCAAATGGCAAAGTGTATGGCAGCAAAATGGAGACTGCAACCACGGGAAAGGATAATGTGATAATGGCAAAGAGTGGAGAATAAAGGCAAGGACAGAGAACTACCATAGCAACCAGAGAGTGGAGAATAAAGGCAAGGACAGAGAACTTCCATAGCAACCAGAGAGTGGAGAACAAAGTCAAGGACAGAGAACTTCCATAGCAACCAGAGAGTGGAGAACAAAGGCAAGGACAGAGAACTTCCATAGCAACCAGAGAGTGGAGAACAAAGGCAAGGACAGAGAACTTCCATAGCAACCAGAGAGTGGAGAACAAAGGCAAGGACAGAGAACTACCATAGCAACCAGAGAGTGGAGAACAAAGGCAAGGATAAAGAACTTTCATAGCAACTAGAGGTCTGGAGACCCTGTCAGGGTGATGGCAGAAGGCAGGGGGATGTGAAACCTGGGTAAGGGTGATCAAATTCCTATTCAATTTGGTAGCCCGAGGGGCCATTCTATTTCTAGCCATGTTCCACTAAAGCTAAGCCATGTTGTGGAACACAGCAGCCTGTGGAGACAGTAACAGTCATGCCTTAACATTTTCGAAATTTTTATAATATCCAAACAGATCCTCATAATGACAATAAAAACTTTCTACAAGACAGGAATATCATTCCATGGCAGACAGCCTGGGAGCAAAAAAAACGGCAGCTACCACCCAGCTCTGGAGCTGCACGGAGGAAGAAGGGCTCAGAACAGACCAACAAGCTTGTTCTATTCCCCATATTTATCTATGAATGAAAGAATAAAACAGACACTATAATCATCAATATAAAATTGGCCAGTTTGAGGATGAACAACTTTTTTAAACCCTTCTTTTCTGTTTTCTTATTTGTAAACTGAGGACACTAAAAAGATTCAGATCTTGCTGACAAAAGGATGACATAAAATCATGCATGTCACAGATCCTGTCTGTCATAACCTTCATGCTAAATACAAGATGATAGACAGGATTTTCAGAATCTCCACAAGGGAGGTTGGAGAGATGGTTCAGAGATTAAGAGCAGTGGCTATAATTCCAGAGGTCCTGAGTCTAATCCCCAGCACCCACATGGTGGCTCACAACTATCCATAATGTGATCTGGTGCCCTCTTCTGGCCTGCATGCATACATGTAGTCAGATTACTGTATAGATGTAATAAATAAATAAATCTTAAAAAATCAATGAAACAAACAAAACACCAAACACTAGAATTCTTTCTAAGATAGAAGTTTGAGAAAATGCTTAAGAGCCACTGCTAAATCTAGTTGTTTGTACTTGATGCAAACATTTTATCTGGGAGAATGGGGAAATGCCACTATGGATGGAGTGTTCACTGTAAGGGCTTGAGGACTTGAGTTTAGATCCCCAGCACCCACATAAACAAAAACCAGGTGTAGCTGCAAACTATTATGTCAGCAGTGGAGGTGGAAAGAAAATTCTCTGTTAGCTAGACTAGCCAAAGCGGTGAGCTCCAAGTCAACCAGTGAGAAGGAGGTGGAAGAAGACACTTGAAATTTACCTCTGGCCTCCACACAGGTATGCAGAGGTATGCCCCCTCCCCCCCACAGTTTTATCTGAACTGAAATAAATAATGAATTAATCTGTGTCTCAAGACCATCACGTAAAGACTGATACATTTTTGAAAGCTTCAAACACAAGTAGTTTTTAAAAATCTGAATGCCAGTGTTGTAAAATGTGGTTTCAATTTTGAGAACATTTACCTGGAAAAAGAATGCTAAAAAATATGGTTCTATTTGCTGTGCATTTTAAAGTAATATTCTATAGTTACATAGTATGCAGTTTCTTTTAGAAAACAAGTTAAAAAGGGAATACCTAGAAATGTATAGAATGCAAAAAACTTAAATGTCTTTCCAAAGAAGCATATAAGAATTTCCAGCAAAACCCATTCACTTTATCCAAAATGCTGTTTTACACCACTTACCTAGAAAGATAAATTAACCTTCATTTCCAAGGGTTGAAAAAAGAATACTTTTCTATAGAGAGATTTGTGGTTTTTTTCATCAAGAATAATATTTAATATTACCAGTACCAGTTGTAACAGTTTTATGCAGTTAAAATCCTTCCTGTACTTGACATTTGTAAAACCAAAATCAAAGGTACTTCATCATTTAAATCACAGTATATTACAAGACAGTCTTATATTACTTTCTAAAAGTTATTTTGACAATATTTTTGCTCTTTTTACAAGGAGCAAAATAGAGCTGAGACAGTATTCAAGACAGAAGGGGAGAAAATGAATACCTTACCTATCTACAGCAACCACAACACTTTGAGAGCTGGTTTCTCCAATAGACTCCTGAATGCTTGCTATCTGCTTCCAGTCCACATTCCCTCCAACTGCCACACATAAGAGAGAGTACACACCATTGTAGTTAGAAAACAATTCAAGCAAAGAATGCGCTTAGAGTTCTCAGTGTCCTAAAATACAATTCTCCTAATAAAGAAGTGATGTAACACCAGTGACAGTTACAAAGCAGGACACAGGTGCTCAGTGAGATATATTACATAATATATAAGACATGGTTATAAGACATATTTGCAACAGTCACACAAGTTAAGACCACTATGAATTTAGATCACAAAACTAGTGGTACTAGGAAAATTTTTTCCTTAATCTTGAAGAAATGCATTGATGTCTTCTGTAGATGATTCGGGTAGGTCACATTACAATACTGCCAATTAATCTCCAACCTCCTCTTAACAAAGGTTTATTCAAGATTTTCTGTGTTTAACATTCTTTTATTCATAAGAATCAGTAAAACAACACTCATAGTTTTAAATCGTACTTTAGGATTATCTTTGGTATATGTGCTGGCTAGCTTGACACAAAATCATCATTGGGAAGAGGGAACCTCAACTGAGAAAATGCCCAGACCAGACTGGCCTGTGGTGCATTTTCTCAATTGATGATCTATGTGGGATGGCCCAACTCACTGTGGGCGGTGCCACCTCTGGGTTGGTAGGCCTGGGTGCTATAAGAAAGCAAGCTGAACAATCTATGGGGATCAAGTCAGTAGTAAGCAGAAGCCCTGTATAAGTTTCTGCATCATGATGTTAGGGTCTTCAGGTTCCTTGAGTTCCTGCCTTGACTTCCTTGGAAGTGGTAATATGAAATAAACCCTTTCCTCTCCAAGTTGTTTATGGTCATGGTATTTCATAATAGCAAGAGAAACCCTAACAGAGACAGAAATTGCTACCAGAATTGGAAAATTCCTTTAACAGACCTGGCCATGTTGTTTCAGGGGAGGAAAAGCCCCTGATGTTTTAAAGCTTTAGCGAGCTGCAGTGGTAACTAAGAATAATGATGAAAACAAACAGTACAGAAGATGGAGGCCTGGCTTGTGAAGTTTCAGAGGGAAGTTTGAAAGTCCCTTTCAGACTACTGGGCTGTGTGTGTGACACTTTGTATTAAGAATCTGTCTCATCTGGAGCTGGAGATGGTGACAGTCCATACAAGTCAGCTGAGCTGAGAAAAGCAGTGACCATTAGGAATACACCAGCATCACTGCAGTACAATCTTCTGGGAGTGTGTCCTCAGGGTCAGCACACAGACGTCTTCCAGAGGGAGCAAAAGTTGCATCTTATGCTGGCAACTGAACTTGGTGACATGTAAGAGTCTCTCAGGTGGTTATCAGTTTTAAAGGCATGAAGGACATGGAGAGCAGCTGAGGGGGCACAGCGCAGTAAGGGGGACAAAATGGTGATGGGGCAACCTCAGCTGAGATAGAAGCCCTAGGACTGAAGGTGCCATGGAGAGAGGCTCAGGTTATGTGGCAGGATTAGAGTTCCTGAAAGAGCCCAGGAGTGGTGTATGCAGACCCAAGGCAGCAGAGACTTGGCCACCAAGGACAGCAGCAGCTGTGGAGTGTAGCCAGTCTATGCCCACAAAATGCAGGTGCTTTACAGAGACTGTCCAAGCAAGCCCTTTGGAACCCAGAAGACCCTGAGTTTTACTTGACTTGGTTGTGACTGTGCCCTTGTTCTTCCTTCTTGGAATAAGAAGGTATGTAACTTATTTTTTATTATACACTGAGATCATTAGATCTGATTTTCACATCTATGTATTTCTCTTCCTACATAGTTTAGGCTCTCACAGTCTCAGGCCTAGATTGCTGAAAGTTCCCAGACTTACTTCACTCTAAACAATCTCTTCATTTTCTCACAAGACCAATACTCCTAAATCATCACCTTCCTTTTATTTACTATCTTAGGATAGAAATTCTTCAGCCTGCCATTTAAGTACTCCTTTTTATCATTTTAACCAATATATGTCAGGCATAATACCGTTACAATGTCAGTGTCCGATAAAGGATTTCACTCAATTATTCTCATTTATCTTACTCATCAGATTACAATTATCCACACAGCCCACAACCAATTACTTTAGATATGTTAACAGTGCCTTCTAACCCAGACTAAAACTTTCCTGAAAGTTAAGAATTAAGTTATATACATTACCCCACATTTCTACCCCACTCAATATTAAAACCAAAGTAGGTACTTAACAAGGATCTGTTGATCTTACTGACCAAATAATAAATTCTCTTTTGAATGCAAACATAGCAGATTTATCGAAGTCACTGATTTCAAATGCTATGCTAGGAAGTGAACAACAAAGACACAACTGCACTAAGAAAAAGACACAGACAAACTAAATTTTAATACAATGTAATGGTTTCTCCATGGCTGAAGTAGACTCATTAACCCCAGCACCTGGAGGCAGAGTCAGGTGGATCTCTGAGTTCGAGGCCAGCCTGATCTACAGAGTGAGTTCCAGGACAACCAGGGCTACATAGAGCAACCCTGTCTTAGAAAAACAAAAAACAAAAACAAAAACAAATAAACAAGTAAGTAAATAAAAACAATGAGAAAAATATTTGGGAGAAATTTTTATCTATACTACACTTATACAAAATTTTTTTTAATTTCTACTCATATTTTACAACTATTTGCATACAATTTGCTATTTGGTATAAGCATTCTAGAGATGATGTAAACGATGTAGTAGGATATATGGATATTAGTATATCTTTATAATATATAGGGTATATATTAGTATATACTCTTTATATGAGGAACTTGAGTATGCAGGATTTAAGTATATCCTTGGGCCCTAAATTCAAATCCCCAGATATTAAACGTGACTGTTAGAACACGGTCGAGGAATGGAATAACATGAGGAAGATTCTGAGCGCTTGTGAGAAAACTCCAAGAACACAAGAGTCTTGTGACCTCAGTTTCTTCAAAACATAGAACTGTTCTTTGAATGTATTTTTGTGCTCCTCCCAGGTGAAGTGATAGGACTGAGTTTACTTCAGATTAATCATTATTGCTTGCTATTATTATTCAATTAAATGTGTAAATTATCCTTTAGATGTCTCTATAGAAAAACATGTTTTGTCACATGAGGCTTGTCCTTGTGATTATATACAGATTGAATTTATGCAAACTTTACGCATGTGGCCTTTCTTAACATTCTGGTATAAAATGTCTGGGATTCTGAATAAAGTTGGCTATTGCATGAGACTTTAGTCCACCTCACTTACTGGCTCCTGTTGGGGGATCTTCGCACACACTGTGAACTCCAAGTTTGCATTTGTGTTAACCAAATAAAATTAACCTTGTGTCAAGAGGCTGCATTAGGTGACAGAAAGTTATCATAGGATATCAGAGGGCAGGTAGCAGAATGGGGTTTGGAGCAGTGCAGCTTTTTCTGGTTTGGCAAAGCAGACTTCAGAGACACTAGCAAGGAGGAAGGCTAGCTAATTGCAATCTAGTCTCTCTGAGGTAGCAGATTTTCACCCAGCCTTTGAATTTTGAGTCTTATTTAAAAATAGAATGACAGAGATTTAGTTAAAGCTACCTTTAGAGGCTGCGACAGAGCCTTTGGGGACAGAATTCCTACAGGGTTGTGGACTGAGCGGCCAGGCTGCTGCTAGAGAAGTAGACCCGTAACTGTGCAGTTACAACTGCAGGCTGAAATGTGCAGTAACTGTGCTGAAGGTAAAACAAGAGGCTCCATTCTCCTAGGTCCTACCATCTCTATAGTGGTAACACATGACTAAGGTGTCACAGAATGTTTGGTGCACGGATGCTGGTTAATACAGAAAAATACTAGCTTAAAGTGGTTTGGCTGCTTATGGGTACAGGCTTTTCCAGCTTCAATTTTAAGTAAAGCATCCTACTCAGCAAAGCACCTGCTGTGTATGTAAGCACTGGGGACAGAGGTGAGCACCTGTTACAGAGGCTGGATTGAAACCAACAAGCTCAAAGAGAGGACTCTGCTAAACCAGCCCTAGTCAACAGCAGTTTTCTCACAAGCATAGTCAGAAATCAAAGTCTGACAAACCAGAAATGAGTGAAGAATAGAGGACATCCAAAAGAAAACTATGACACAGAGTTTGTAAAAAAAGACATGATGGCACACCCCTGTAATCTTGGGAGGTAGAGGTAAGAGAATCACAAATTTGAGGCAGCAAGACTTTATTTATACTTGACACTCTGCTATGTATCCCCTTGAGACTGACTGCCAGACTGCACTGTTAAATTACTTCAGTTGAACTACCAACAAGGGACTAATTTTTCCTCAATCCAACCTGAAATCAAAACATAGTCCTAGTCCTTTGTCTTTCCTTGTGGATGTATTTTAAAACATGAAACCATTTTAGATTTTCTAAGGACTGCTAACAACAACAAAAATTAATAAAGGATAAAGACAGGATTATTGTTCTCAAAAATTGTTACAAACAAATACTGTGTTACAAAGCCTTAAAAAATAAACAACGCTGGCTCTCTGGCATATTCCTTACTGCTCTACTGAAGTCTGGCTTCTGGATGGTGGAGATGAAGTGGGGATGATGGTCAGATGCTACACCTTAATCTCTAAGGCACTAGGCATTGGGCTAAGTCCATTTGTGTATATATTCTTACAGAGTCCTGACAATCCAACAATTAGATGACATATTAGCTTGCAATGGAAATGGAATCTAGAACTATCGTAGCTAGTATGAAAGAAGTAGAGAAGAACTCAAACCTGTAAGTACAGAAGTCAAGGTCAAAGTCTAGGCTTCCATCTTGGTGGAACTCTTCCCAGTCGTGACTGAAAATATATCATCTTTGATTTTTTTTTTTTTTGACATTTCCTTTTGCTAGTATTTTCATTTGTACTATTGGCCACTCCAAGCTTTTCTGAAAGTTTGGGGAAGAGGTTCCATCCTGACAGCAGTTTGGGTGGACCTACATAGTGGCTTTAAAATGTCTGAGTATGAATGCTTTCTCTAGTTGCCTAATTATTTATTATTTTCTATCAGCCTACACATTTAAGTTATTTGCCTAGGTGAGTTGATTGTAAGAACAATACTCAACTTCATATGGAAAACCAAGAAACACAATCCTGTACAACAAAGGATCATCTAGAGGCATCACCATCCCTGACTTCAAGCTCTACTATAGAGATATAGCAATAAAAACAGCTTGGTACTGGCATAAAAAACAGATGGGTGGACCAAGGAAATCAAATGGAAGACCCCTATATCAACCCACACATTTATGAACACCTAATTTTTGTTCAAGCTAAAAATATAAAATAGAATAAAGAAAACATATTCAACAAATGGTGTTGGTATAACTGGCTATCAACATGCAGAAGAATGAAAATAGATCAATATCTATCACCATGCATAAAACTCAAGTTCAAATGGATCAAAGAACTTAATATAAATCCATCCACACTGAACGTCACAGAAGAGAAAGTGGGAAATATTTTTGAATGCATAGGCACAGGAGACCACTTCCTAAATAAAACACCAGTAGCACAGACATTGAGAGCATCAATTAATAAATGGGACCTCCTGAAACTGAGAAGCTTCTATAAAGCAAAGAACACAGTCAACAAAACAAAACAGCTCCATACAGAATGAGAAAAGATCTTCACCAACCCCACGTCTGACAGAGGGCTGATCTCCAAAATATACAAAGAACTCATGAAACTAGACATCAAACAACCAAATAATCCAATTTAGAAATGGGGTACAGATCTAAACAAAGAATTCTCAACAGAAGAATCTCAAATGGTGGAAAGATACTCAAGGAAATAGCAGAAAAATGCAAATCAAAATCACTTTGAGATTCCATCTTACACGGATCAGAATGGCTAAGATTAAAAACACCAACGGCAGCTTATGCTGGAGAGGACATGGAGAAAAGGGAACACTCCTCCATTGCTGTTGGGAATGCAAAATTGTACAGCCGCTGTGGAAACCAGTATGGAAATTTCTCAGAAAATTAGGGATCAATCAACCTCAAGACCTTGCAATACCATGGTTGGACATATACCCAAAGGAGGCACATTCACACCAAAGGACATTTTGCTCAACTATGTTCATAGTAACATTATTTGTAATTGCCAGATCTTGGGAACAACCTAGATGCCCCTCAACTGAAGAATGGATGAAGAAAATGTGGTACATTTACACAATGGAGTACTACTCAATGGTAAGAAACAATGACATCCTAAAATTCACAGGTAAATGGGCAGAACTAGAAAAAACCATCCTGTGTAAGATAACCCAAAATCAGAAAGTCTAATACATTATGTACTCACTCATAAGTGGATACCAGACATAAAGCAAAACATACCCAGCCCACAGAGAAGCTAGAACCCTCTTTCAGAAACAGATGGAAGCAGATGCAAAAATTCACAACTAACCAATGGGCCGAGCTCCTGGAGTACAATCGAAGTGAGGGAGGAGTGATAATATGAACAAAGCAGTCAAGACCATGATGTGGAAACCCAAAGAATCAGCTGGCCCAAGCTAGTGAGAGATCACTGACTCAAGTCTGACAAAAGGGGAAGCTGCATAAAACCAAACTAGACTTCCTTAATATAGGTGACAATGGTGTGACTAGGACAATATATGAGGCCAATGGCCGGGGGTCCAAGATCTAACTCTAATGCACAAACTGACTTAGTGGAGTGCATTCTATATGGAGAGATACCTTGTCCGGCCTAGACACAGATGTGTAGGGGGTGGAGTGGTGTCTTGGTCCTGCCTCAATGAGATGATGGGAAAGACTTAGTAGACTTCCTAGGGGAGGCCTTAACCTCTCCAAGGAGCAGATGGTAGGTGGAGGGGAGAGTGGGGGGAACGGGACTATAGGAGGTAGTGGGAACTGGGATTGGAATGTAAAAAAGTGAGTTGAGTGTATCATTCTCATAGTCACTAGAAAGAAAGTGGCATTTAATATTGTAAAACCAGACCAAGTGAAAAAGACTAATTTCCCAAGTAATCATCTTCCTTTTCTCTATTACATTAGGCAATGGGCAACTTACCTCATTTCTCTAATTATATTTCACTGTCACAATAAAAATTACATAATCTGGATGTTAAAAAACTGTGGTATTTTCTAAAAATAATTTAAAAACCTCTCACCTAGCCCCAGACCGACAAATTCATCAGGAGCCTGGTCTTTTGTCCCAGTGAGAGAGCCTTCTCTACCTCTCACTGTCCCGGAAATGTACCGAGGCTTCACTCCAGTTCCTATAAGTTGTGCCAGCTCCAACTGACTGATGCACTTCAGGATCTTCAGTACAAAAGGAAAAAAAAAAGTGTATAAATATTAAAATGCATGCAGTTAGGGTTTAAAAACAGACTACATTATAAATTTTTACTAAAAGCTGTTTATTTAAAATATACTAAATTATTTTCCACAATTAAGCATGTTAGTGGTAGAATATTTAGCATCAACTCACTTTATAAATCAAATTGTAAAGTTAAAAGTGTTTTTACCTCATGCCATGAGTTTCCTAAATAATTTCCATCCGTGTGAGCCACTGTGATGAGTGTTTTTATGGTGTCAATATTCTTCTGTTTCATCTCAGTGATACCAGAGCTCACTGTAAGTAAGGTAAATCTGGCTAGTGCTTGGACATAGGCATCTCTTTCCAGCTACAAAAAAGAGAAAATTGTATTCACATGGTTGAAAATACAGCATACTAACTAGCTTCTAATTCATAAGTTCTAACAGATATGTCATGGATTACATACAAATTTAAAAAATTATAATCTTAAAATAAGAGTTCATAGAGTTCTTAAACATAGACACATCTGAATGATGTACCAATTCAATATGAGATTTTTAGTAGTCAACAAATTAATTCATACAGTAAAAATAAATTTTCTAAAATTTTTTTCAACTATATTAGCAAAAACCTGCTTTATAAATTTGTTTATTTTTTCCTCTACAGCTAGGCTGTATTTTGTAATATACCAAGTCATATCATTCACAATGAAATACTAAATGGGCTAAGAAAAAAAAGAATCTAGCTAAAAGACACTCAAAGTCCATAAACTCCTAGAAAAGACTGTGTTCATGGAAAGTATGTTAGGTACTTGGTTCTTTTAAAGATAACTAATTCTGAGGCTTAAGTTAAAAGGTATCTAAAATAAATACTTACAATGCTCAGAATCACCAAACAGAATTGCTCTATCAGAACTTCTCAAAACGACTCATTTAAATTCTATCACAAATTTGAAGGTGGTTTTCAAGGAAGTCAGAAAAAAACACTATGCTTTGACTATACTGACAGCATGTGTTTTCCAGACTGGGTATAAAGGTGAAATTCTTTTACCTGGATGCTGAAAATGCATGCAATCCTGATTGCACATCTTATCCCTTCTAGGCAAAGAGAGGCCACTTCGGTATCATCACAGTCTTGTAGACCCACACTGAACGCAGCCAGAAAAGGTGTCCAAGCCAACTAGAAAAATTAAAGATTTAAAATATACCATGCACATCAAGTGATAATTGAGGCTGTTGGCACAGTGAGAAAGCTTTCTTAAAGAAAGGAGAAAATCTTGTTTCTTGGGCTTAAATAAATGGAAAAGATCATAAATTCAGCAATAGCCTATTAAGAACAATATGTATAAATTATTCACAATAATGAAGACACAGGAATAGGCAACATTCATATAGTTTTAGCACTGACTTAAATTCATTTCTCTTTGCAAGCACTGACCTTTACAATAAACCAGATTTGTTAGTTCCAATACAATCCTTTGAATTGTTTTACTACTTGCAACAAGTGATCCTACTTTTTTCAAAGCCTGTTCAGCAAACACCATTCAGCCTTACTTTTACTATTAAGTACTTATATTAAGAAGCAATATTTGATTCCTAGTTGGACAATATTTTAAAATATTTAATAAACTATTCATTACATTTTGGAAGGGAGTATTGTTTGAATTTATACTCAGCAGACCCTGGTCCACATCTATAATCTGAGCACTACAGAGGCGGAGTCAGGACTGTGAGTTCAAGGCTGATCTGAGATAATTGGTGAGACTTGGAAAGGTAGCTCAATGGTAGAGCACTTACTTAGCATAGACAACAAACAGAAATCCACATAACTCTGAAAATTCTGATAGGTCATGGGCCTTCAGGGACACCTACCATTTTCTCTGCTAAATGAACATAGCAACAAAGTGACTCCTGATGACATATTGCTAGATCCATACATAAGTGCATCACTCAGCCTTCAACAGAGAAGCTTCTTCTTGCAGTTAACAATCCACAACTGGACATCATGCAGAGTGTAAAAGAGACTTTGAAATGCTCAGTTTTAAATGGAATGCCTATATGACAGCTCCCTCCCCACAACATCAGGGATCTATGTGGAAGAGGGGGCAGAAAGAGCCAGAAGTGGTGGATGACTTCAAGGAAACGGTGTTTTCTAGATACAAAAGTGCAGATGCACATATGAATTACAGACTGTGACAGCACACAAAAAATCTGAACAAACTCAAGCCAGACAAAATCACAGCACAGTGGAAGAATAGTGACCATGAAGTCCGACCCCTTGTCATGAAGCTATTCACAATTGATAGCTTCTGGGAGAGGGAAAAGTTAGTTTTCTTCAACCACATTCCAGGGCAGACATTCCCACTTGTTTCTTAATGTACACTATGGCTCTAGTTCTACTCAGAACCCTAACTCCTGGGATATAAGTGCTGATGAGAGTCTAAGCCTCAGGATCACTTTGAAACTGGAAAGAAGACTGAAGATTTAGGAATAAATCATTTATAACTGAAAAAAAAAAGCCAAGGATTAATGACCACTCTCCAAAGCTTTCTATTTCTAATTTCTGAAATTATATTCCTACCAATCACTGCACACCATCTTTCACTTTCTTTAATAAAGAGATAATTCATATTAATTAAGTTCTAAACAACCAGGGACATCTTCTATGTCAAATAGGCTCTATTACTATATTTAAAAAATATGCTAAGCAAATTACATACACATATATATTAGAGCAAAGTTATTAGTAATTCTAACCTTAAACATAGGCCTCACATGCTCCAAGTGTGTTGCACTTGTAAAAGGTGCCTGAACATGGCTCACTGCTTCCATGAGTGCTTTAGCTGTCTTGGCCATCTGTTCCATTTCTAAGTTATACAGAAGTCGTCTTTGTTTTTCACTGGCTACATCTGAAATAAGAAATATTACCATTTAAAAAATAGAAAGCACTTAAGATGACACTTTTAAAGTAAATGCCAGTAATTAACATTAATTGATAATATTCCTAAGAAGCCAGACAGAAATGATCACATATTGTTTGATGCTAAGTACGTGCAACATCTGAAACAGGTAAATCCAGAAAGACAGAGAAGACTGGTATTTGCCAGGGCAAAAGCAGAGGGAACTCTAATAACAACTTATGGATGCGTAAGTTTTATTTTGGAGTAACGAAATGGTTAGTCTTAGCCAAAGGTGATGGATTTACAACAATGTAAATATACTAAATGCCAACAGAACCACTCAATTTACCTATTTATTGATTGACAGTCATGCTAAGGGTCCTGTGCATGCTAGCCAAGTGCTATCACACTGAGATAAATTTCCCTTTGAATTTTCACTTTAAAGGGTAAAGTGCACCTTGGGGATGGTGGAATACTGGACTAATAGGAGTAAGTGAAAACCTGTGAAAATCTCAGAGTACAACACTCAAAATTCAAGTATCAAGGAAAGGAACCAAACATGAGGCAGGAAGCAGAAGAGAGGTAAACACAGTGGCATTGTCCCCAGTCAGCAACATAAAAAGCACTGCCCTGGCCCTCCTAAGTAATTACAGCATTCCCAGCACACCACACCTTCTATCCACACCAGGGTTCTCACTGATGTCAAGTGAGTGACAGGGAAAATATATGGTGTGGGGGTGCTATGATCTGGGCAAAATGAGATCAAATCAGAAAATAGGCATTTGCTTAAGTGTAAAGTTGAAGGCAATGCTAGAAGGAAAGCTGAAGTAGCACCATTGGATGGATATATTGGTTAAGTTTTATTCGATACTGGAGTAGACGAAGACTCAACCATATCTAGCTCAGTATCTGTCTTTTCCATTTGATCTCTTAGATTTTACAGGTAGTTGTCCTTGAAAAAAAGTTTTTGCATTATAAAGTCAGACTTCAAATTTTTTTTTCTTTCCACAAGCAACATAATTCTTTCTTCTCTATTTTCACACATAGATAAATGTTAAAAGTAGACATGATGAGAGAAAGCAGAGGTGGTTAAGATTATTTAAATTAGATATGACTACTAAAGAAAGACTAATTCTAATTATTTTTCTAATCTGTCTAGGCTTGAGTTTCCTTGTCTATGAATTAGAAAGACCTTAGTAAAATTCTTTCTGAATATTAAAAGGGATAAGAGATAAGGCCAATTATACTCCAGTGACATTATCTGCCTAATGCCCTGGACTCTAAAATTCTAAATTTTCAGAACAGATTTATCCTATAATCCTTATCACTTGCTTCATGTTAAAAATATTTTGCTACTGCAGTGTTGGCACACACCTTTAATCCCAGTACTTGGGAAGCAGAAGCAGGTGGATCTCAGTGAGTTCAAGGCCGGGATGGTCTACAAAGTGAGTTCCAGGACAGCCAGAACTGTTACACAGAGAAACCCTGTCTCAAAAAAAAAAAAAAAAAAAAATTTAAAAAAAAAAAAATTTTAAAAAAAAAAACCCCCTTAAAAAAAAAAAAAAAAAAAAAAAAAAAAAAAAAAAAAAAAAAATTTACTAACAACAATATGTTCAAATTGAGATTTTACTTCAAGTACAAGTGCTTAGAAAGGCAAGAATCTTCTTTCCAAAGGAGTTATATTCTAGAGCCATTAGGCCCAGGAATGTCCATCCTGTAGTCATATCTAAGCTCTAATTAATCATTACTGTCTAAATGTATATGTAACATCTAGAATAGTGCTGGGTCCACAGCTGGCTCCTAGTATAGTGGAGTCAATAGCATCATACTCAGTCTCAACACTAACACTTTCCCACCTCTTCTAGTCACATCCATACCCAGCTTCCATTTATATGTAACGGTTAAAAGAAGACAGGCAGAATCATGTTGCTTATAGATAATGAGAAAGCAGAGTCTTTTTATGTCTGTGTACCACACGAATGCCTAGTACCAGAGGGAACCAGAAGAGACAGTCAGATCCCCTGGAACCGGAGTTACAGACGGTTGTGAGTTTCTACATGGTGGTGGTGCAAGCCTTTAATCCCAGCACTTGGAAGGCAGACGCAGGCAGATCTCAGTGAGTTTGAGGCCAGCCTGGTCTACAAGAAGAGCTAGTTCCAGGACAGTTAGGGAGCTAGGGTTGTTACACAAAGAAACCTTGTCTTTAAAAATCAAAAACAAAAAAACCCAAAACAAAAAAAGGTTGTGAGCACTTATGTGGGTGATCGGAGCCAAACCCAGGTGTTCTTGAAGAGCAGCAAGATTCTTGTAACTTCTGAGGGAAAAAAGCAAACAAAACAAAATACTCTTAAGCACACACCTTCCCCAACCCCCTTTTCAGGAAAGTTCCAGGTCAGCTTTAGAAACATAGGAGAGCCAGTCTTAAAACAACCAGTGTAGAAACAGAACAAACTCAACCATACAACACACCTCCCCGTGAGTAGTCAGACTTGATTACTCTGTACTTACTCTGCTTAGTTGATTTTGTAGGGATTGTTAGCTCTTTTGTTTCTTTCATTGATATTTTCTTCCCAGCTATTTCATTATAAATGGCTGATAGATACTCTTCAGGAAGGTCTTTACTGTCATTGATACCTCGATTCATTTTAATGTACTGTTCCTTTGTCATTTTGTTTTTAACCTAGATATTAAAAACCATTGTCACTTCTAAAAATTAACATAAAAATTTTAACTCATTTGTAAGAATTAGGATAGTTGTCTAAGAGACTTTTTAAGTAATGTGAAGTCTAGAAATGAAAAATATTCAACAAAACGTATATAAAAATGAAAGTCGTGGAAAACAAGGGCAATGTACAAAAGATGCATTCTGGCATACACTTTAGCAGCACAATACTGTAAAAAGGAATACTCCAAAAAAGGGAAGGAGGAGGGAGAATAAACGAGTGACTTGATTGTGCCCAAGATGTACAAGACTTCTAACTGGTCTTAGAAAGGCCCACACAAACTAGTAGAAACACCAAAGGATTCAAACTGTAGTTCAGAATGACATGAATAATTTGTAAATGGAATTTCATTATCAAAACAAAAGTGGATGGAAAAATAACAATAGTTGAGTATTATTTAAAACTACCTAACATTTTCTGAGTTGTCACAACTACATTATATTAGGTGATCTGGATGAATCGTTTTTAGACTGTCTTCTCTTATTTAAAAGACCTCAACAGGGATGTTCAACTTAATAAAGCAATGGAATACCAGTTGATAATTTGAAGTAGCAACATTGCCAAACATGGAATTAACATAGCAAAGTATATTACACTCTATCGCTAGCAAATCAGACAGACAAAACTCAGTTGTTTTAAGGTATTTCTGAAGAGATATTTAATTAGACACATTTCTACCACCTGCCATCAAGAATTAGTGGAATTCTAAAGGTAAGGAGGCTTTTACAGGTGCATATTAAAGCACACAGAACAATAACGCAGCAGGTTTTCACAGGCTTACAGATCTCATGTGGGAAAGCCCATAATGATATGATATGATATGATATAATATAGGATCAAATCAGGCGAACATATCGACTTAGCTTTACATATACTCTGCAAGTAGAATCTACTATGCTGAAAGTTAAACAGGAATGGCTTTCCCTGTAAAATTGCAAAAATATGAATTTCTAAGTTTAATTAGTAAATTAAGACAGTAATACTGAAGAATATCATTAACTCTAAAATTTTATAAGGTCATGGCTTTTAAAAAAACAAAAAGCAAGCCACTTTACCTAAAGTTCTGACAGATAGATGCCTATTAAAAAAAAAGTCTCTCTGCTCCTCCCTGTCCAGAGACAGCTGCATCTTTTTGGGCAGCGCCAGCCTTGTTTCTGAAATATGATGGGTGAAAGCTGGAGCGAATGGATTTAGCTGTATTGGACGCCTGGTTGCCAGGGCTGCCTTAGATTCTGGCAAAGTGGACATTGTTGCCATCAATGACCCCTTCACTGACCTCAACTACATGGTCTATATATTCCAGTATGACTCTACCCATGGCAAGTTCAAAGGCACAGTTAAGGCTGAGAATGGGAAGCTTGTCATCAATGGGAAGGCCATCTCCATCTTCCGGAGATCCTGTCAACATCAAATGGGGTGATAGTGATGTCGAGTATGTTGTGGAGTCTGCTGGTGTCTTCACCACCATGGAGAAGGCTGGGGCCCATTTGAAGGGTGGGGCCAAGAGGGTCATCATCTCCACCCCTTTGCTGAATCCCCCATGTCTGTGATGGGTGTGAACCATGAGAAGAATGACAACTCATTCAAGATTGTCAGCAATGTTCCCTGTACTAGCCTCTCTGGCCAAGGACATCCATGATATTTGTGGCATTGTGGAAGGACTCATGATCACAGTCTATGCCATCACTACTACCGAGAAGACTGTGGATGGCCCCTCTGGGAAGCTGTGGCATAATAGCTGTGGGGCTGCCTAGAACATTATCCCTGGTGCTGCCAAGGCTGTGGACAAGGTCATTCCAGAGTTGAACCGGAAGCACACAGGCCTGCTTATACTGTTCCTACCGACAATGTGTCTGTTGTGGATCTGACATGCCACCTGGAGAAAGCTGCCAAGTATGAAGACATCAAGAAGGTGGTGAATCAGGCATCTGAGAGTCCACTAAAGGGCATCCTGGGCTACACTGAGGACCAGGATGTCTTCTGCGACTTCAACAGTGACTCCCACTCTTCCACCTTTGATGCTGAGGCTGGCACTGCTCTCAATGACAACTTTATAAAGCTCATTTCCTGGTATTATAATAAATTTGGCTACAGCAACAGGGTGGTGGACCTCATGGCCTCCACGGACTAAGAAGC